ATTCCTGCTTTAACAGTCTTCTCCAAAGCTCCTCTTAAAAATAAGTTTGTCTCCTGCAAATGAAACTGCTGTTTCACTTCTGAAGTGCTTCATCCCCCTCTGAAGCGAAGGTGGGAAGCGGCTTCTGCATCGCTGAGCGCGTGGCCATAAACCCCAGCAGAGCAGGCTGCTGATGTGAAATTAGAGATATTTCAGCACCATCTCAGCTGATTGCTTCTGCTGCTAAGCCACAGGCATGAAGCTCCTCTGGGAGAGAGACTTGTGTGACAACCCTATCTTGAAGGGCTGACCACATCAGTCCTCGAGCAGCTAAAAGCCTGAGGGCTGTTCCTTTGCCTTGGAGGAGAGGAGACAGTTGTGCCCTTGCCCCAAGTCACCAGGGGAAAACCAGAGGCTAAAATGCAGAGGGGAGATGTGAGATGTGAGAGCTTGTGCTACTTCTGCCCCAGTGCTGGTTGTGGTCCCAGCCAGATGGGTCCCTGGCGAGGCTGGTTCAGGGGACTGGGAGGCACTGGGGGGGCTGTGGGGCAGCAGCCCCCTCTGGAGTATCACGTTTTGATCACAGATGGAGGTGTTTATGTCTGAGGCACTGGTGCTTTGAATCCCACCACCCCCAGCTACCCAGGCACAGGGTTCCACGAAGGCAGAGGTTCCTCCTGCTTCATTTCCAAGTGCTGGCACTGTTGGGCTCCCAAAGGAGGCTTTGCAGCCTCTCGGGAGGCCTGATTCTCCTGTGAGGTGCTGCCTGGGATGGGATTGCAGAAACGTGGGGTGTCCTTGGCCGTTGGGGTGTCCCTCCCAAAGCCAGGGTGCTGGGGCAGACTGGCTTACACCCTGCAGTGTGTGTCACCCCGTCTCATCTTCCTGCCTCTTTTACACATTTTCCAAATAGCCCTTTTGTCCCCGGGCAGTGCTGCTTTGGATCTGCCGAGGGAGGATCCCCGGGGCAGTTTGCTGCTCCCTTGCCCTCCCACCCGCTGCTGTGGAGGAAGAGAAGTGGGATTCAAATTAGCCTCCGTCTCTCCTCTCCCCTCCTCCTGCTTCCCAGCCCCTCTCCTGTTCCCTGGGCCCGGCTCAGGAGCGGATCACATCACCCTGGGCAGGTACCCGCTCCTGTCCTCCTCCCCGGGCATCTGCTGCCTCTCCCAGCCCCCGCGGGTGGGAAAGCCTTTCCTCTGGAGCAGGCGATGCCCCGTTGTCCCCTTTTTGTCCCCCGCTGCTCTGCTCTCCCCCTCGCCTGCTTTTCCTCTCCCTGCCCCCCGGGCTCCCCTGACCTCCTTTGACGTGTTGCATTTCACGGCTGGTAACGGGGAGCCGATGGGAGATAAGCGGGGTGACGGTGTCAGCGGCTCCTGGCAGAGCCTCGGCCCCCCCGTCCCAGCCTGGGGGGGCTTGGGGAGCGCCCGGGACC